CTTGACAGCTGCTGAAGGTGGGTATTTAGTTGGAACAGCTTTAACCCACATGCACACTTCCTGCTGGGATCAAGGGTATATGAGCAGACGTTCTGTAAAGTCTAAGCTACAGATGGATACTGTAGTAGGCCTATAGGTAGCCTATAGACGGCAAACTGCATGACATAAGGGTATGGTAAGACTTGTAAATTACTTTACAAACGCTCTAGTATTAACCAAATGCTAATCACTATTACCTCACACAGATTGGGAGTGCATACTGGATGCGACTCCTTTAAAAGCACACACAGGCAGTACTTATAGTATACTATCTACTGGCCTTAGAAAGCATGATTACTAGAAATTAGCACTTTTAGCAAAAGCACGTACCTATAGCAGTAGTATCTTAGTTCATGCAGCTCGATGGATAGAGTTGAGAATGCGAAAACCAAGGCAAACGCTGCTGCGCTCAGGACCCAAGCATATATTTACCCGGAATAGTTAAACCCAGATTTACACACCTTGTACAGACCAAGGGGATATGGCGTTGGCTTAATCAGCGTCACTTCTGACAAATGGTGGTGTCAGTGCCAGCACCAGTACTGCTACACTTCTTGCCGAGATTTAAGGGATATGAGCCTAGTGCTGACTTTAATCAGCGTCATTTCTGACTTACAAAACAATTAATAATAGTACCAGCAAATACTGTCACTAAGCTACACCCTAGTAAGTAGTATTAAAAGTAGCAGTAGTGGTAGTTGCAGTACGAGCCCTTTCTTCTTGGAGTCAGGCTAGAGACCTACTAGAGGTGAGTGAGGGTAGACAGTGCAGTAGTAACCGCGCAAGGTCTACTTTCACTAACGATAAAGTTACGCGGTGTGTCTGGCTGCATCTGGAGAAAGCGGCTTACGCCTAATTCTTGCTCGGTCATCTCGACTTTGTCTTGTCACTGGTTAAAGCAGATGGGGGTTTCGAGTGGGGTAGATGGCGGCTCGTCTACTTTCACTATACCTGGTCACAGTCACAGTCCCTGCTCTCGGGCAAATGGTGGACATCACCGATTACGGTGGTCGAACCCACACCACCCAAGTACTGTAGGTAACATTATCTGGACCTGGTAACTCAAGTCAGGCAAAGATAGTAACAAGCTCTTACAAGTCCTCAACTGAAGACTCCCACCAAATGCATTAGTGAAATAGCCAGTCCCGGCATCCAGTCCTTGTCCGAACTAATACCACGCCAAAAAGGAGTTATTTGTACAAACGATGCTACTCGCATATTGTGAATAGTATTTTCATAGTGACATGCATGTGATGCGTAAAGTGAAGCAGGGCTGCGTCCTCGTGCCTACCCTTTTCAGTCAAATTTCCTACATGTACGTACAGGCCGCATTGTAATATACTATTTGCTAGCCTTAGCAAACATGATTACTAGAATTAGCCCTCTTGACATTGGCATACTACTTCTAGCAACAATATCCTAGCCCTCGTAGTCTATACTTTAGGAAAAACTGACACAGTTTTGGTGAATAGAGGAAGGGGGTAAAAATCACGGCAAGCATTGATGTGCTCCGAGCTTCAAACATCTACTTTACTCGGAATAGCATAAATCCAGGTCCCAACTCCTAGT